AAAGTATGGTAAAGAATGGAGTGTATGTAAGTCAAGAGCGAGCTGTTATTTTTGTTAATAATCTTTACGTGGAGAGAGAGGGGGAGGCAGCTGTTATTAATTTAATGTTTACATTGCTGCTGCTTGTTTCCATGGATACGCTGTTGGAATCTATCAAATACCGTGGTCGCATATTTATCATAAGATGAGTGATTTTCAAACAATGTTGTAATTAATTTGACACGTTCTCTGCAAATAGGTTGAAAATAATGTGTTTTTGGAGTCGCCACGACTCTAAAAAATGTGGGACTTGTTTGTGGCAATTTATGCGTGACACTTTAAACTCTGCTCTTGCTAATGTGTGTGTGTTGCCCAGTTGCCCACTGGTAGAGTACTGAAAGAGGAAAAGCTGGGAAAATATTTTTGATTCGAATGGTTTTAGCGGCACTCAACGAGCTTAAACATCGATTAGCACGTCTTTCGATGAGTAGCTTTCTGGAATGTTTACTTGCAGGGTTAGCATGCACTCTGTGGTCTAGAGAGGGCTCCACCAACTGAGCTACTGAGGCAGCTCAGCTGGCTGGGCTGAATCACTCATACAGAGCAAGGCAGAGCACTCTGTGTTCTAGAGAGGACACTACCAACTGAGCTACTGAGGCAGCTCGGCTGGCTGGGCTGAATCACTCACACAGAGCAAGGCAGAGCACTCTGTGTTCTAGAGAGGGCTCTACCAACCAGACTATTCTCTATGCATACCACACTTCACTTAGCTGTCAACACAAAGCATTCCACTTGGTGACCTTATAGTGCCTCATTCTAAGAAAGTGGCTGGGGATATTCTAACAACTCTTATTACCCCCACATGCCTCTAGCTAGCAACCCTTCATGTGTATCTAGTTGTTGCTCAACCTACCTATAGACAGGTACACCATACCTACCAACCTGCAGATGAACCTTTGCTTGAGAAATGTGTCAGATTTGCTTGATTTGGAGTATTTTTGCTTGAAAATGCTGTGTGTCCATTCAAGATGTATAGGCATGATGCATCACAGGTTAGCACAAAAAAGAGGGATTTGGCGATTTTTTGGAGGATAGGCAGTATTTTTGCTTGATTATGCGGGATGGTAGGTACGTAGGTATGCAACCTACATACCTAGACAGTGGTTCGTATTTCTTGGTGCTTGGTAGGTTAAATCTGTGTAATCTGACTTAATTTGTCCAATAGACAGACTTCCAAATCACAGAGGGATAATTTTCAAGACTCTATATTTCGCACATGTGCCGCACGTATTGTTGTTCATGGTAGCAACTACTTTTGGTGGTCGATTTCTAGGATGAGGTAGAAAGAAGATGTGCAGGGCTTCAATTTGCATTCTTGGCTGGTCATTCTAGAAGGAAAGCTATGAAAGAAGTTCAGTTTGGTATCCAAAGGTTCAGTTTGGTATCCAAAGGTTCAGTTTGGTATCCAAAGGTTCAGTTTGGTATCCAAAGGTTCAGTTTGGTATATGTGTCAACACTAGACAGGTGCATGGGAAAAAGTTAACTGCCACGCACATGGTCTTAGATGACATTTTCGTTCTTTGCCACGCAGCATCTTAGTTTGGTATTAGCAACATTGGAAGTATTGATGTTTATATACACTGTTTATGGGTTGAGTCACTACATTTATTACGCAACAATGAATCCCGTGAGTTTTGCTCCAAATAAGGTGATCAACGTGCGTAACTATTTTTGGATTAGAAGCTAGCACCATATTATTATATTATTGTTGTGAAACTTGTGACTTAAACTTCCTTCATGCAATGTTACCAAATATTGCGTAAACCTATTAGCAAACTTGGTTGTAGTAGATCTCCTGGCATTGTAGCAAGTTTTAGCTTAATTTGGTGTGTGTGTGTGTGTGTGTGTGTGTGTGTGTGGTGTGTGTGTGGTGTGTGTGTGGAGCTTTCTGTCCTTCTACCTCTCTCCACCTCCCTATCTCCTCTCTCCCCCTCCCCCCCACACACACTCACACAGACTCACACACAAGACCTGTTAATCAAGGTTGTCTGCCCTAACTAGCTCTACTACTGCAGTGACTATATAATATATACCAGTGTTAGCAATGTGTTAATAGGGTCATGTGCTCTAAGATAAGAAAACAGTCTAAACATCTGCTCCAACTTGGTGCTGACTGCATATACAACCCACACTTACTATATACACTCTCTGTAATTAACGCTTTAGAGCCATGCATAGTATCTCCTTAAATAAGCATTGACATAAAGCCTAGTATTATAGCCATATATAAATTCTTATGGAGGCTCTGGGAGACTCATTTTCTTCAATGTCCTCAAGATTTCACTTACACTGTACTAGATTTGTATAGCTAAATTGAATATTAGTGTCCTTCTCAATATTTTATTTCAGGGAAAGCCGCTGGTGGTAGCGACTATAGTCAGACCAACGGAGTCTCTGCCAAGAAGACACAGTAGCTCTCTTTTTAGAAGTGGGATTTATTTACTACAGACATTGTATTATTATTGTGTGCGTTTTCTAACTTATCTGCATAGGTTTTGAAGGTGGTATTGTGCACGCGCATGCGTTATAAGTGGTACATTATAAACGCGGGCGCCGACGTCAAGTACGCGCACGCGCGAGTACTACGCATGCGCAGTTTCTGTTCCGGATGTGGCGGGTTCGCGTGTCGACCGACATGTCGGTAATGATACGCTAGGTTCACGCAACCGAGAGCACGATTCCAAGAAAACACTTGTCGGTATTCACGCCACCCACACCGGAGTTCGCGGAATAGTGACCTATATATTCCTGGTAACTCACCGCAGGCCTGCATTCGGCGAAATTGTTCCCCGACACCAATTCCCCGAAGTTTTCGACTGCGCACCTGCTAGCAGCGACTGATCTCGCCCACAGCTCGCGCTGTACTTGCAACTGCAGCACACGAGACTCGTAAGTACAAGTCTGTGTTTATAGCTTCAGGTTGTTGCTGAACATGCGGCGTGGTGGACGTGCGCTGCTTATGAATCGCTGGTGAAATTTACGGCCGTTTAGTTTCGCCTTCTGCAGCAACTGCTATAGCTAGCTAGCTGTGCACCTGCAATACTCTGCAGCTTAGCTTAGCTGTAGTAGTAACTTTGGCTAGTGCACCGGTGGTGGTATGCACGCCGCGCAGGGCATCAATTATGGGTGAAGTCGTAAACAGAAAATTAGCGAGTTCGCCTGGAATGCATAATGTCGAAACACTGGCTTTTATTAGGATATTCTACTCAGTCATAGCTCAGAAAACGTCTAGAGAGATAGTTGAACTGGAGTAGAATAGAAAAACAAACTTCTATCTTCAAGAGTTTGGCAAGAAAGTAGATCAAGAAGAAGCCATCTTATCCTTTCTCCCCTTCCCCCTCCTCTTATCCCATCTGGCAGAGCTCTGTGTCCAAGTGTTCTTTCATCTGGTGATTGGTAGACAGCTCCAGAGATCTCCAGCCACCTCAGTCTGCAGCGAGAAAGAAAAAGAGACGAATAAATAGTTAAATGATGTCTGTGACAGCGCCACCGCTCGTGATGACCATCAACGATAGACAAAAGTGTTTCGAGGAACGCAAGACGCTGGAGAGCCATGCTTGCTCCGGCAGTCACTATGTCACTCTCGGAGTGGTGAGCATTTTCTATTGTAACAACTTGTACCAATGTTTTTCTTTTTTCGCTTCAAATCCCATTTTGGTTTCAAGTATACTCTAATAACCTAGATAGAGAGAGTGTTCTTTAACTACTTGGGCCATTTCATTCTAGTTCCCAGCTGGCATTACAAACCTAGATATTTTTTCGTAAGAAAGAGCAATTTGCACCATTTCGTATTTTAGTTCCAGGCATTTCTTCTTTATAAGAGACCATATATAGCAGCAAAATTGACCTATGGTGTATGTGTCCACTAATGGGTCAGTAGGTCAGTGGGGTAAGCTTTGTGGCTAGTGGTTTTCGGGATTGGAGGTCAAGTAAAGGACAGTGCTAACTGCAAAGCATCTAGCAGGGTGGGTCTGAGGATTGCTGAGCAGCTTACAACAGCTGCGGTTTCAAGATATCTCAATTAGCACTCCCGTTCTCTAGCCTTTATAGTCTCTCTCTCCTCTCTCTCTCTCTCCTTTCCCTCTCTCTCAGGAAATTGAGAGCGGGGTTTTGCTGACTCCGGATAGCAGCCCATCGGCTCTTTCCACTGGTAAGTTTCCTTAATCCCATTCCACATAATATCTGTAAATATCCGTGTTCCATTTTCGAGTAATGAAAACAGTGTCTTGCAGTGGTTTAGGATCACCACTCCACTAATAAAGGGGGTCCCTCTGAGAATAGGAAAATCACTAACTTTTGCAAAACACCAGGTTCAGTGCGTGTAGATTGTGGCGAGATCGTAGTAGGAAATTGATAAACGTGTTTGTATGATGACTATTTTCATTCTCCCAAAGGTTGGCATATAACAATTGAAAAAATAGGAAAGACTGTTTAGTGTGTTTGCCCTCTTTCATGTGCTAAGTGCTTATTGATAGACTTTCGGATCTGACTGGACAGTTTTCGATGCAATTTTCATTTCTTTTGTCCGACACACAAACGTTTCCTCCGTACCTCCAAACGCACTGTTTGTTCATCTCCCGCCATAGATAAAGCTGTGAAGCGAGCGCCACACAATCGATGGTTTTCGAATCAATCCTTTACAAAAAAAGTCCCCCGTAGTCTGCAGATTGCTACTGCTACTCTGTAGGTGGTCGGAAAACGCACGCGATGGTATGATCTTCCAAGACGCGTGACCTGTGAATGCAGCGTCAACACAATTAGGAGGTAGTAACAAATGAATTGGACACACAAGGGATGGAACGTAGGAACTCCCGTGCATTTGCAGACGTACCCACGCGCGACACTCCCTTTCTTATTCCTCTTCCTCGCTCGCTCCCACCTCCTCAAAGAGAACGCTCAAAATAGGAAACTGGCGTGATTTCGGGGCGCACTCCCCCAATCCTAACCAACATTTGCTTTTGATTCTGGAGAACTAGGAAACGATTAGCGATGAATCGTAGGACTCCATTTTGTGGTATAGATAACCTCTCAACTTCAAAGAATCTGGTAGTACGCACTACCCATTGTTGTAGCAAGAGTGAACAAACTAACGAGGGAGTATGCGATAAACCTAAGATGAGGAAACATGGAATCTTACTATTTCCGGGCAACCCCAGACTCTGAATGATAGCCAGGGAGTCAGCTAGAGTACATGCATGCACCTCCTGGTAATTGTGGAGGCTTGGGTAATTGGTTTTGAAGAGGTTAGCACTTGAGCCAAGTGCCAGTAGCTGTTTTGCAGCCCTAGTCTCTTAGTGGCAAGATGAGGGTCCATGCATAAAGTATGTAGGGTGCTAATTGCAAGGTGCATTAGCTCACTCAACACAAAAGATTACAGGTAGATAGAATGTTGGGGATTTTATTCCTCATCTGATATGCATATCAGACTACCGGTTGAGGCTATTCCGAGAACAGCGGATGCTAGCGGGCCCTGAGCCCGTTCAAGTGCCTTGGTAGGAAACACTACACTGGAAGGGAATCCCTGGGCTGCTGAGTTTCTTGGAAATGAGTATAGTTTGTCAACTCCTCACTGTACTGGAGTTACGTTCGCTGTCCCTCGCGCGGTCAGACCACATTCCTATGCGCTTACGCCAGCTGCCGCTAATGATATTCATCGTTTCACTGGAAACGTGCGTGGTTCGCGGGGCATTGTATGAATTCGAGTTTCTTGGAACTCGTGAATCTAGTTAGGCTGCGTTCCCTTCCCGTCTTCTAAGAACTCGGCATTCCCTAAATAGCATTAGGCTTTAGCATTAGCTAGCCCCATGCCAGGGAGCTACAAGACACATTGGGTTGAAAAAGGACTTCTGCAATGCCGTGCAGCTGAGCACACCTCACTTGCACCACACTAACTTTCACTAACCAAAGATAACTCTTCAGTATTCAGTAGCGTGGACACTGCTGTCTTGTTATTACCTACTTATGGTACAAATGACTAAGTTATATAATACAGTGTGCATCTTGCTAAACAAAATAATAGCATACCAAACTATCATAGCTGTTGTCTTCAGGGTATGGTAGTATATTCTCAACATTTTATGCTGTCATTCCTAAAAATGACTATTTTACCAACCTAAGTTTGAATCTTTCTAAACAACTATCCTAGATACCATTTGTATCTTCCTGAATTTGTTGAGATACCCTGTCCTTCTCTGAAAAGACTTACCCCCTATCCTCCTTCTCTCTCTCTATCTCTCCAGCCTCATACAAAGAGTCTTTCCATCGTTCTACCGAGTCGTTGGTTCAAGCCCCTCCCCAAGCTACCCGCTGCTCAGTGCTAGCGATGCCACCAATGATACCCAGTTCTCCTGTCACCTCTGAACAAGACCAGCAAGGTATGGCAACAACAACAACACTAGTTTGGCACACACCAGCTCTTTAGACCCACTCTATAGCTGCCTACTTGAGCTCTCTAGGACGGGGAACAGAAAACTTGTGTTCCACAAAACTGTAGGGCTGTAGGACTGTTTTTTTACCCGACATTTCAGAACATACACCAAACCTCTACTCTGTTTTTCTCTCTCGATTTCTCACCTTTGAAAATCCGTATTGGGACTTTCTCTTGCGTATAGTGTCTCGATTTGGCCCATGTTTCAAACCTTTCTCTTTTTCTTTCTTGTCAGGTGGTTACATGACGGCAGCTACCCACGGGCCTGTCGGCTCGCCTCCACTCCAAATGGGCTCCCCGTACAGCGGTTGCTCTTCGCCTGCCGGTAGTCAAGTTTACTCTCCCGAGCATTTCGAACACCACCTTCCGAGTCATTCGCAGGGTATGGGGTCCCCTCCGTACCCCACGTCATCTCCTTACCAGTCAACCATTCGGTCACCGGGTCAGTACAGCTGTTCAACACCCTCACCGACTTACAGCAACATGGACACCGTGGAAGTCCCGCATCTCATTTCGTTTTCGAGTGCTGTGACTAGTTGCGACGGAGGTATGCCGGGGGTGTTTACCGGGGAACCGGCGATCTACAGCGTACCTCACGCTCACCCGCAAATGGTCGATGCTTTCTCGGCGACGCACCCGAGCCATCTACCTTCGTTTGCCCACGTTTTCGAGGGTCCTCTACACCACGAGATCCCCGAGCGACACTCCTCCCCCGAATCCTACTGCAGCGAATCCGGCCCCGTGACCATCAAACAGATGCCCAACGAGTTTGGGATTACGGGCATCGAGTTCTATCACCCTCCGACGCCTCCTAATATGGTCGAAGGAGCCCCCGGCATGATGTACCCACCGGAAATGTGCGGTCATCTTCCGCCAGAGATGTGTGGCTCTCTTCCCCCACTCCCCAATCATCTCTGTCCTATCCCAACCCTTTCAAACCAAGGCAGAAGAAGTAAGCTCAAGCCTCTATCCTCCTCTTAACATCTTACACATAATTGTAACTGCTAAAACCTGGTACAAATAATCTTTACTTAGGATTCTCCTGACCTCATATATACCAACATGCGTACAGTTCCACACAGCCTCTACATTTGAGAAACCGTGTGCTACTTATAACAACCCTTTTACAAGTCTGCCACTGTCCCTTACTTCATAATGTTCTGCAGACACACTTTTAGCCATTTCGTACACTCGTAACTACAGCAACCTAGAGCTTAAACTATAAATGAGAATATTTTTTACTGTTTTCTTCTCTTTTTTCACCCTCTAACTAGGACCCAAGCAGCCGAGAAAAGTGCCAAACATTGAAGTCGACGACAGCGACATAAAAGGTAAATGAATCCACCATTACTAAACACATAAGTATCTACTAATCAAGATCTAGAGATATGCTTATAAGTATATAGTATATACGAGAGACTCTGTGGCCTACATGTGGTAGGAAATTGACCTAAACTTCCCAAGTGCTAGGCAATACATGTGTGTATATTTCTGTGGGAAATGGTAATACAATTGCATCCTCTTTCCTTCACCATATTGACCAATGTGTGGCCACAGACAGCATATACACCCAGAGTTGTGTGCAATTAGACAAGAACAAGGGTAGTTTATCCTTACACAATCATAAATAGGGGATCTATTAGGTCCCGTGGTGAAATATTAACCCCTAGTGCCTTATATAGAGAGTTGATTATGAGCAACTAGCATGTGATCTAAGATAACACTCACGTTTTAATGATGACATCGTTGCTAATTCTCCCCTCTCTCCTCCTTCACTTTAGATATCCCAACGAGTGCTCAATTGTGGGAGTTCACCCTCCGCGTCCTCAAGAAGCCGAAGTACAAGTACATGGTGTCGTGGGAGAAACGAGAAGAGGGGCTGTTTCGCTTCAACAACGCCCAGGCTTTTGCCGCCCTGTGGGGAAAACACAGGAATCGTCCCCAAATGTCCTACGACAAGGTCGCGCGGGCACTTCGCTACTATTACAAGAGGAACATTTTGGAGCAAGTCGGTGGACGCCTCACCTACCGGTTCACAAAGAGGTTGAGCAAGCTGTATCTTAGCGACGTGTAGGACTTTTTTTACCCGTCTCAGACGCAACCTTTACGCACACGTAACGAAACGACGACAACAAGAGTGTATTCCGACGATAACTTGCAATATTTGTTGCTATATCTCATACTGTCACTTCTCACTTCTCTTCCTTCATACGTTTTATATATACCGCTCTCGAATTCAGTCCTTTTACTTTTTTATAACAGTTAACCTCACTCTCCGTGTTCTCTACTAATTATGTACACACCTGTCGTTGTAAACTGCACACTGCTTTTGTTATTTACCTAATAAAGCACATCAATTGTATGTTTTTCACAAAAAATGACCTAAAAAATAAACAGTGTGGCTCTACGTATGATATTCCTAGCTCTGAAGATATGAAAAGTCACTAACAAGAAATATGCACCAGAACATACATACACACTCGACCCCTTCCTTTATGAAACACTCACCAGGTGGGCCTTGGAGAGCCATGCCAATTATCATTTGTCGCCTCCCGGCCAGACGCACAGACGAGCGGGGCAGCACGCGACGCTGTTTTGACTCAGCTGTTAAAAAGGAGGAAATGTGGGACAGACTGAAGGACAGGAGGTGTTTTATTTAGAAGGCGCCATTGTGTATGGGGCCAATGTTCCTAGAAGTAGGCCTAGGTTCCCGCTTCTTGGAAGGACCGAGCGATTCGCTGGTAAAGGGGGCGGGTATCATTCCGAGTAATGCCGCTACCGCTGTATATACACGCACAGTGCAATACTACTCGACTTGGCTTACTCGCTTCCGAGAACTCATTAGTAATTCAATTCCTCTCGTTCCTTCTCCGCAGGAATTCCGTTTGAAGCACCCCTGGCAACGACACTAGCACATGCGCGGATCGGTTACGCGCATGCGATAAATCGGACACGTGATCCCTGACCAATCAGATTCCTTCCCACCAAAGTTTGAAAATTATCCGCCGCTCCGTCCTTTTGCCGTCCGCGTGTCCGATTTCTGTCCGTCTGTGCTATCTCTCTCTCTCTCTGGAAAAGAAAGCAATGTCTCTAACGACGCCAGAAACCAACAAGACCGTCTCAATCACTGGTGGATGTTCGGCTGGCGCCGCGGGGCTAGGACCCACGCCCAAGAACGAATTCAAGAAACCGTTCTTGAAGCAAAAGTAGGTGTGACCACCGTTCCCCCCCTCCTTTTCACTCCCCATTACTTTTCAACGATTTCCTCTCCCACCGTCTCTGTGTGAACCTGACTATGTGTGTCCATTATGAACTCCTTTATCTCTGTGCCTCATTTCTCTCCCTTTTCCCCCTCACCCCCTCCCTACTGCTACACGTAGGCAGTATTTCATGAGCCCCACAGATGCCATGGTGTCACCATGCACACAGAAACTGCAGACCTCGCGTCTCCTCCAGAAGAGACCACCGTGAGTTTTTTCTTTGCTGGCGCTAAACTTTATTTTTTCAACCACTAAGAGGGAGGAGGAACCTGTGTAGTTATTGTAACTTTCAAACAAACTCTTTTGTAGAAATACCTCAAAATTTTTTACTCAAAAGTTGCTTTGGAGCATGGTCAACACTTCTTGCAAATGGCCCTCATTCGTTCTCAGTACAATATTATTATCATGTCTCAACAACTTGGTAGCGAGGTAGAAAGACAAGGCAAGGCAAACAAGTCAACTATTGTTGATGGTTAAGTTTCGTACACCACTGCGGGTGGTTGTCATGCCGACAGTGTCCTCGCCATGACAACAGAGTCTGAGAAGGTGATAAGAAGGGTGAAAATGGATTTCTCCCATCGCTTCCTACTTGTTTCCTACATTGGGAAGACCAGCACGATTATCAGCTCTTGCATAACACACATCACCTCCCTCTGTCTCTTCTCACCTTGTCCATTAGCTCTTATTATCTCTGGTTTTAGCGATAACAGCGATAGATCTGGCATCGTGTGGTCAAAAGTCCACTTTTCAGTTTGGGTTATTATTCAAAACAAGACAGGGTGGCGAGTGAGATTCAAGGAGTGTGGTTTATGTTGCTGTTTTTGAATGTGAAACCTTTTTAATATCTCATCTTTCATCTGTATATTATGTGACCCAGTCTTCTGACCTCTCTCTCTCTCCTCTCTCTCTCTCTCCTTCCATCTCTCTCTCTCTCTCTCTTTACTACTTCACTCTTCAGCCACCACAGATCTAAAGTCAACGTAAGACCGGCATTGGCAAACAAGGAGAATGACAAGAGAAAAGTCGGCGATTTGCCAACAATTCCGCAGGAAGATGAACCAGATCCTGAACCCACACCACAAGATTCATAAACTTGAAACAGTCATAGACTGCATCTTAGCTACAGGCGTGAGTGTTTATGCACATTTTCAGCTGTGACTATACGTAACCATCAATTTTTGATTGTGTTAAATTTTTTGATTTGTGCACTCATAATGTTTCTCTGGACCAAGTAATTTTAATGATTGGGCGGGGAAAATTTTACACAGAGTGATCAGTCGAAAGTTGAGTCAATTTCTGTCTGCGTTCCAAGACGCTGGAATGGAGTGTGTCCACAAGATCGCTCACGCTGGGTTCAAAGCTCAAGAGATCTCGAACTAATTCGTTGGGGGGCAACCCTCCACCAAATGATAGCATGTTTCGTAAACTGTCTCCGCTCTCACGTGAGAAAGGATTGTTTGCAAAGCAGATCTTCCAGACGAGACTAGACACAGCACGTGCCCACAGATAAGAATAGTAACGAGCCCCGTAACCATAGAAATGGTTGAAACGGAGGACCCAGGTTGCCCCCGGCAACGGCGGGAGCGGTGCATAGCGACAGTAAATGTCGTGGGCCAGTTGAAGTGGAGATGATTTGGAAGGTTTTCGAGTGTGTAGCAACAGGTCCGTCAGAGCGTACACAATCTGCAACTGTAGGTCGTATGCAGGAAAAACTGCAGCAGACAGTTGAACTGTGGACATGTCCGATCCGTGGATTGGACGACCAGTTTCATGATGCCTTGCAAAGGACTGCAGTACGCGAGAGTCGGCCAGAAACAGCTCCATGAGTGTGGACGGTACTTCGGCGAAATCGGTCGAGCATCGCGTCCCGGTCACATTCTGGAACCGGGATCTGCCCAGGACCGAGTGGAGGGCGTGGCCCATTTCGTGGAATAAATTCTCGACAGCACTGAGAGAGAGTAGGGGGTCGTTGCCACGGGGACCACACTGACTCCGCGAGAAATTGCAGCAGAGGGCAATAATTGGAATCTGGTACTCTCCATTTCTCTTTTGTCTCCCTCCCTGGATGGTGAAATGACAGTCGGATATCGCTTTGCCTTCTCGAGTGAACAAATCGCAGTAAGTGTATCCCAAAAGCTCGCCGTCCTCGCCAGCTAAATGCCGTCCTCGCCAGCTAAATGCCAGCTTCATTACGTCATTGCTCCACACTTCACCTGGATGGGCGGGGACTGTTTCCATGGTAACACCAAACAAATGCTGAAACAAGCGTGCGAGACCACGGAGCGTCGTTTCGAGAGAGAAATACTTGCGTAGTTCTGAGCTTTTCGACTGAAACATTTTCTTTTTTGCTTCACTGGTGCAGATGTTCACGTCGCACAACTGGAGCGGTGATTGGTCGTTATTTGAGGGGCGAAATCGTTTCATTTCCTCCACCTCTTCCCGTGCCAGCGGCAAATTCTTTTCGCTCAGTTCCTCCAGAAACCGTATGGCAGTTTCCGGATTACCTACCATGCACGTCTTCAGCGTCTTGTGAGCAAACGATTCGTAGCCAGCTAGTACTGAAACGTCGTGCCGTGTTCTCAAAATCTCTTCAAAGATTCCCACTTGCGTTGGCAGCTCGGAAAAGTAGAGAGCATAACCGAGAGATCGGAGTTTGGAATCTGGACTGTGGTATGGAACGTGGTCGACAGCGACATGGGAACCGTCTCGAGTGGTTGAGAAATGCTCCGCGAGCGCCTGTGGACACTGCTTGCGGGGAACTAGAGTCGGCAGATTCGTGTTCTCCATAAACCCATGACTCAGCTCCAAAATTCGATTATTTAGCTCCACAACTTTCCCTCGTTTGCCAAAATCGAGATGAATTCCGCACGTTTCGAAATCGTGCAGCAAGAGCTGCGTCGTTCGTTGAGTGACGGGGTCGCATTTTTCAAATTCTTCGCTGGTGATGAAATGAAGCAGAGAGCGGTGGAGGCGAACGTTTGTGTTTAGTTCTTCGACGTATGCGTTGATGGCGAGGCTCGCCTGCTGGGCAGCGTTGCGAAGCCTAGAATCAGGGTGCACGAGACGAACACACTCAGAGAGGTCGGCAACTTGGCAGAGAACGTCGGACAATTCGTCCATCTTCACGGCTATTTCTGCGGAGGGAGGTTTGTTCACCGTGGCTGATATCTCCCCCACAAGCTCTCGAGCTGCGGCTAGAGCTTTCTCCGAAGCAATTTGGAATCCTTCTGCTGTGGAAAAGTCAGGCTTACCAAACAACCCCCTTCTTTCGGCATCTTGAGTGGTTGTTGATCGGTTTCCATGGAGATAGCGGTTGCTACGTGAACGGTCTCGGTTGCCGCGGTGACTGAAAAGGGTGGAGGATCGTGGTCTGTTGAAATCTGTTGGCATTCGTTGTAGCTGAGCTGCAGCAAGCGGCGAGGGTAATGTGATTCCAATTGATGCCCACCTCATCGCGTCCGTACGGCATGTCGGCCGACCGATGCCGAGCGGTCGTCTTTCTCTCCTCAGCAGAACTTCTAATACTCTCCGCATATTCTCCCCGTAAACTAGAAAGAAAGAAGTCTGGAACCGAAGGAAAAACGCTCGCCGACGCTACTGCTGAGCGCTAGCGAGCGTATATACACGCAGGCGCAAACTGCACAACACTTTAGGGGGTGGGGCTCGTTTCTACACGCGTGCGTGCACCTGCCAAAATGGGGCGAAACTCGCGAGTATTGCTCGGCCCACTGCTCTCTCCTCACGTAGCTAGAGGGTACTTGGGCATTGCACAGTGTCTCGGGGGACTATTGAAGGTACAGGCGAGAAGACATGGATCTACTTTCATCTTATTGGGAAGGCGCTAAGGCTCGCTACGAAACGGCCATGAACAACGGAGGTGGGCAGCTAGTTATCCTGTGAAAAATGTTCAGTGTTTTTTCTTCTCCATCGTCAGATCCACGCGTGGCAGACTGGTTCCTGATGGATTCACCGTTCCCAACGCTCGCTCTGTGCCTCGCCTACCTCGGAATGTGCTACGCAGGTCCGCGGATGATGGCGAACCGCGAGCCGTTCCAACTAAGACCGGTCATAATTGTCTACAACCTCGTCATGGTTCTAGTCTCTGCCTACATGTGCTACGAGGTAGTGAAATCTATAGTCGCGCAACTGTTTTTCTCGCTCGAAAATTGGTGCGGAAATGTGTTTGGTGAGCCAAAAAAGTTGTTTCTCTAGCTACATTGGAATGATGATGCAATCAAAAACGAAGATCTAGCTCACATGCACTCTGTGTAGATAAGAGGGTGTGAAGAGAGGTTAGAGTAGGGCTATCAGCCCATGTGCATGGTGTGATGATGGCATGACCAAACTCTTATTGCACCGGACTAGCTCTAGCTACAATAATACTAGCTCTATCTATATAATAATACTTGCTCTAACGAACATGGTTTTCATAATTCAATTGATTCCCGTGATTAACTCTGCAGATACTTATTACGACGTACCACCTGAAATTCAACTACTGGTGCGACTTGGTCGTCTATTCTCCTGAACACTATGCCATGAGAGTAAGTTATGCTTCTCAAACTATTACGGAGCATGTAGTCAGTGAAAAACTGATAGTATGTGGGATGGGAAGTGTCCCATTATCAATTCAGGACGTCCTGATATCATACTCTCCATTCACACAGTTGGCATCAGTTATATGGGTCTTCTACTTCACAAAGATCGTGGAATTTCTTGACACGTTTTTCTTTATTCTCCGGAAGAAGAACAACCAGATCTCGGTACTTCATATCTATCACCACAGTACCATGGCAGCTCTTTGGTGGATCGGTGTCAAATGGTTTGCTGGGGGAGCTTGTGAGTTTGTAAAAAAATGCATGCTGCGTTATCGTATCGATTGTGTGTAAATCTCACATTGGCTCATCAGCATTCGTTGTAGTGTTACAAATGAGTGTGCTCTCATAAGGTTTAACCCCCCACTTGCGATTACTTTACCATTTCTTCTCCTCTTCTCCATTTCCCTCTCCTTCTCTCTCTCTCCCTCCCTCCCTCTCTCTCTCTCTCTCTCTCTCTCTCCCTCCACAGCTTTCTTCTCAGCGATGGTCAACTCCTTTGTCCACACCATCATGTACTCATATTATCTCCTGTCCGCTCTTGGGCCTTCTGTCAGACCATATCTCTGGTGGAAGAAATATCTCACCATGCTTCAGCTGTACGTTTGTACTAAATACGTGGGATCCTTTTAGGAACTACATTGTTTTTGTCTGTTAAAAAACTCTGCACCTTTTGAGTAGTTTCGTAGGTCAGCTGATTTTTTAGCTGATTGCTCGCGGGACTGCAATAATAGCTTTTATGAATGACTTTCGCCTATATTATTATAATGAGGACTATAATAAAGTTGTTTAGCCGCAGAAACGAGAGCCGTTACGTCAGAGAAAAGCATGTTTACCACACCTTCTCTTTCTCAACATAATTATCTGTTTTTCTTCTTATAATATCTGTTCACCTCCATTTTCTCCTCCCTTATTCAGAGTATGTTAACCACGCCTTCTCTTTCTCCTCTCTCTCAGGCGCAGTTCGCTGTCATCCTTCTGCACGTTGTCCAAGCTGTCTACAACGGGTGTCGCTACGACGTGCGACCCCAGTGGACCCTGGTCGTCTACATGCTCTCCCACATTGCCCTCTTTGGGAACTTCTACAAGCACACGTACAGCAAGAAACCACCCAGAGACAGCCACACAGGCTGGTATAGAGCCACACCAGCATGCCAATGGTACAATTCTTTTTATTCCCCGACACATAGAGATTAGCTGTTGCCATACTTTGGTATTGGTGTATACAGCCTCATTGACTCATGGATAACCATTTCCAAATACTTGAGCTTCTGAGCTGCTTCATACAGAGATGCTTCCTGCAAATATATCCACAATAGAGGTGTTTAGTAGATATAGTACATGTGCCACTCACGGGCTCTTCCTCAAAGTATTGGTCAATCTCTGCCTGTAGTTTCTCCTGTACATCAGGGTTCATTGCCAGGAGGTATGTGGTGTAGCTGAGAGTGTTGGCTGTAGTCTCGTAACCAGCCAGCAGGAAGTCGACAGAAAAACCAGCCATTATCTCACTAGTCAACCTAGTACCATCACTACTTTCATCATCTGTTGTTTCTATCATTAACTGGAGCAAGTCCTTAACCTGAGATTGCATGATGCCATATTGAAGGGTGTATAAAAGCCACTGGTAACATTTAATAACCTTAGGAACCTCTGTGCTATCCAGCCTAGCCTGTATGAGCCCCATGGCCGTATTGTGCATCGTTTTGACATAAGCTGCCACATCTGAGCTCCGAAGAATGTGCAGTAACAGTGGCTCTAGCCACGGGAAGTTGGCTACAAACAAAACAGTTCATGTTGATAAGTTCATGGCAAACGTTACACAAATACCACCTACACACACACAAGCTTACACAGAGTTGCTATCAGCATGTCGGGAGCATTGGGTGACCCCTCTTCGTTTGCACGGAAAATGGCGTTGGCCCCCTTGTGTTATCTGGTCTGCTTCTCCTCTCAGAACATTCACGTAGCGACCAAAGGCAGTGGCTATCAGAGTCTCCATTGTGAATGCTCCATACACTCTACGTGGCAAATATTACTATATTATACTTGACGAGGTTAGATGTGTAATTGGCATGGGTGGTGTTTTGAGGTAAATTTGCGCAATACACCGGCTTATTTGAATCCTCACATAGCACACAGTACAGTGCCATGTTTGCTACTGCACTGGATGCAGTGGAAAGCTGAACTACAGTGTTTTAAACTTACCTGAACATCTCTGCACTTTCCCCAGATTCTGCAAACTCTCCTATTTTCTCCAGTAGAATATCTGAGCTCTTCTTCAGTAGTGGCACCATCTGCAGAAACAGCTAGCTATTGGCAACATCCTCTGGTAACATACCAGTTTCATCTTCATTCCCGAGAACGATGGAGTTAGAGCATGTCTCCCAGTCTTCCAAGTCTCTCCAGTAGCTACCACCAGACCAGGAGAAAGTCCCAACGCTTTCGGGGTGAGATTGGGTGGACCCTGTAGTTTTGAACGGTTAATTGGTTGGATATGCCGGAAGATTGATGACTAACTTACCAACATCCCCCTGTCCCTGAAGTTGTCGAACTCTTTCACCATTATCTCCTTGAGCAGTTCGACATCTGTGATAGTGACTCTTGCTGCTGCACCCACGTAGTAACTGTGGTGTATTGTATAGTTGTGGACTATGATGCAATCGCCAACATGGATCATCTCGATTCTTCTTGCAAGCGGTACTCACCCAAATACAGGTCCAAACTTCTCTATCTGCTCCTCCAGAAACTCATTGTGTCCAATCTATATACAAGCAGTGGCGACAGTAGGATCGCTGGCAGTTCACATGGAACTATAATGTTCGTATCACCCACTCTCTTTATGCTCAAGTAATTCCCCACGACTGGGAGAGGTCGCGGGCCCTTGATTCCGTGACTGCTGAGTAGGCGGTAGGGAGACACCAAGAACCTGTATATACAGTGAGTAGTATATGCAAGGCTTTAGTAACGCCCCCACCATTGGCTCGTCGCCCTGTGCGACTGACCTGTACAGGACAAAGACAACTGCAGACACTACTGCGGCAGCGAGCAGAGTAGAGTGGGAGTTGATGGCTTCGAATGCTAGTTCCATCATAGAAGCTATCTATGGCACTAGTGTGGTACTGTGTTGGCAACACAGAGCGCCCAGGGCCTTGCAACTGTGAAACGGATATCAGGTGGATGCTAATGAGTTAGTTCAATGGCGCTTGAACTAACTCATTAGCATCCACCTGATATCCGCTTGAACTACTCATAACCTGATACAGTTGCAAGGCCCTGGGCGTTCTGTGTTGCCAACACAGTACCACACTACGCTGCATAGTGCCATAGATAGCTTCTATGATGGAACTAGCATTCGAAGCCATCAACTCCCTCTCTACTCTGCTCGCTGCCGCAGTAGTGTCTGATGCGATCGCAATTGCCTACTCACTGTTTCACTCTTTGAGATTGCGATCGCATCAGCCATTAGCACCGAGTTCTTCGACTGAACGACTGTTGTGTAGCTAGATAACTATCTACGTACGTTCTCTAACCGCTACGTTTTGGCTTGACGTTTAGTCTCCCCGCCCCTCCATTGCATTGCGCTTGCGCTGTGTGCAGGCAAAACGAAATGGTATGCGCATGCGCATAATGCGCGGCGCCGTAGAAGGTGGTGTTCGGCATTTCAGTGGATAATCCCGCAGTATACCGAACGTTCAAAATGTCGTTTCTTGACCTTCTTCTTGCGGAGGCTATCAGCGCCGGACTCGCACGCCAGGCGGCGGCCAGAGAGCCGCCACCCGAGAACTTCTTCGTTCTTCCGAGGGATCCGCGGGCGTGGCGCATGTTCCAGGCCGCGTCAGAGAAAGAAACGATGGTGGCTGCTATTGAGATAACAAACACGGCACCAAACTGCAGGGCCGTGCAGCCACTTTTCATCGAGTTGGCCCGAAAATTTTCTAACGTGCCGTTTCTGCGGGTCGAAATCGGCCTTGGAAGTACGTACGATGAGGTAAGCTGCAGTTTTTTTGCCTGGCGCTAGCTATGCACGCATTGTCTCTTTCACTGCAGCTGCGAAGGAATCTCGGTGGCGTGGAGTATACGCCAACTATTCTCGTCGTTCTCTTTGAAGAGGAGAGGAAGAAAATCGCGAAAATCGAAGGCGCCGACAAGATTCGGGGCGCGATCAGGAGCGGCGCGGCCGAGGCCCTCATCACAGCCTTCATGGAGGAACGCGTGAAGCTGAGGATGGCCGAGAGGCTGGCGGAGCAGATGGCGCTCCGTCTGGCCCTCGGAATGGCAATGGCGAGCGCGGCGGGCGCGGCGGGGGCGGCAGCCGCGAGGCGCAGGAGAGAAGACGAGCTGAGGGACAGGTTCGAGAGAGACATGGAGAGGCAGATTCAGGAGCGAACCAGACAGCAGCGCTCCGCCGGTCAGCAGCAGCAGCGAGGAAAAGAAGACGACGATGATGACGATAAAGGGGAAGCTGTACGTTATATTATAGCATCGCGTACTGTAATGTTGGCGGCCATTAATATTAGCGTTTTGTAAGTTGTGGTTACTTTGACCCCTTATAGAAACAATTTTTGCGGACCATTAATTTCATTTCTTAACGCCAAATTCTCGCTAAATGGAGCGCGAATATTTCCTGTTTTACAGTATGTTGTTCAGGCCGAGTGCATGCAGAAAAATCATAAAACCTGCCCGATTCAGTAATGCATTTTCTTGGCATTTTCTCACTTCAGGAGTCATCTGGGCTATCTTTTGAAAGTCTGCTGAAGCGGTTCAGCCAGAACTAACTGTTTTTTGAAGTGCAGAACAGAGTTTTGTCTTGTGTCACATTTTGTTTTGGTTTATCCCCAGATTCAACTTTGTATTATTACTGTATTACAAACAGAGTTTGTCTTGTGTCACATTTTGTTTTGGTTTATCCCCGGATTCAACTTTTTTATTAACAGTATTTTTATTACTGTATAATAATATTGTGGCGAGGCATTGTCAAGCGCAAGCAGCCGTTTATTAATTTTGTTGGATTACACTCAAAACTGTGTTCCACACGTCCATAACAACTTCCCAGCTTTGTCAGTTTGCAAGAAACCAATGATTTTACCACGTATCAACGCACATAATATGCTAGCTTCATTCATCCATCCACATTTATTCACAGTGACACATGCGCTAAAATCGAAATATGTATTATACAAAACAATGTTAATCATATGTCAACTCTGCACTATTGAATACACTATGCGCTACATTCTACGATATTCAGCGATTGTACCATCTGCTGCTAGCTACCATCTTTTGTAAACATGGAGACATCAATCTATACAAACAGTCACATGTTTGGGTTAGCTAGAGTGGTCGAAGATCCCTCTCTATTAGGGATATTGCTTCCTGCGTCTCGTCAAGCTTTTTCTTTGCATCTTTCAGGTCTTGGTCCAGTTGCCCTTCGTCTTTTTTCAAGTTTTCCAGCCTGCATTCGCACATAATATCTGTGTATTATTACTTATAAATGGAGTGGCAAGTACGTAGCTTGTGTCTAACAAAGATTGGTGTGTTTGTAGAGAACAGAAAGGGCCTAATGTGGATGTATATACACTTAAAATGTTGATACAGTGTTAATGGTGCTTTAATTACTTGGATTGTAGTGCATTCGCAGCTCGGGCACACTTTGAACAAGATGTTTACGGAGATCGGCCTTTTCGAAGATCCGACCGAAGAGATACCCATCCCCTTCATGATTTCCTTGAGGTGCTTGACTCCCGCCACACTCAGATCCAAATCCAGCAGCTTTTGTACATTCTCTGGCCGCGTCTGCAGTGACGTAAATAATATTATCATGGACAATTTTACCGTAAGAAAGTGAAAGTGTAGGGAAAAAAACGTTCTGTACGACGAATACAGAACTGGTGGCACCTTTGATTTATGAAAAATACATTATGAAGCACAATGACATACACCATGTCACGGTTTACAAAATTGGTAAACAAATCAGTTCTAGTCTATACATACCTTCTTGATCTCTTCGTCTCTCCGCTTCTTCTCTCTTCTTCTCTCTCTCTCTGCTCCAAAAGTTTCTGTTGCCTCTCTCGGCTTCTCAGCTCCGACTCTTCCAACTGATGCCTCACGTCTTCGTCGTACTCTTGCTTCATCTTGATGTTCTCCTTGTCCTTCACGCCGCTAGCCGAAAACTGCTCGGCCAGGTGCTCCACTGTCTTGATGCGAAGTCTCTGCTGTATGTGTCTGTATAGTATTATAGGCACCATGACAAGCTAAGGAAAGAGTTTTGGCAGAGGGTAGCCACAGCATAATGAAACTGGGCACTTTGAATAAAGGGTATATACCTCTCTTTAAATTTTTAAGGACACCTCTGAATAAAGAGACGTGATGTGCTCACGTTCTAAGTCGCCTCTCCATTTCGCCAGTTTTGATGGCACCTTCTATCATTCTGTCTCCTTCAACCTTGCCAACCTGCATAACGTCAACTCAGAAGAAACTAAGAGTATGGTAGGGTGTATGCCGCCCCACCAGATCATCTTGAGCTGGATAAGGAATGAATAGCATTATGTGGAACTTGTATGCAGTATAGGGGGTGGTGGTGGAATTTACCAACAGTGTTCTTATTGGGAGTTTTGATTGGGCATCATACTTTCTATAAAGGACAGTTATAATATTGGGCTAGAGTAGCTACTAGTAGTGACGTCGTAGTCGAGACAAGTTGAGTAGGGGTTCTAACTATTATAGGTGAGACCAACTCGTTTCCACCGACGAACGGAACGCTTGTGAATGCGGGCCCGTCATGAACAGGGGGCTCTGGACTCTTGCAGGGGTATTGGTGTTTTGTCTGGATTCAACGCTAGACCATGTTTCCTTCGGCATGATAGTGAAGAAGCTTGCGCCAAGCCCGTGGGTCCGCGGTAAACGAAGAAGAAATTGGGCGGAGGAGGCAGTGTTGTTGTCCCGCTCTTTGCCTAGGCCCTTCCGAGACGGCCGCTAGAGTTCGGCGAGAGAAGAAGTTGAAAAGGCCTCGTATTTCGGGTTTTTAGCTCTGCACGCAGCTATCATGCGCTAGGTAAAGCCGCGAATGCTCACTTACACGACGTAACGAAAGACAATTGGCTCGCTCCGCTCGCCAATAATATTCTCTGCCGCTCCGCGACTCAAGGGGCACGGCATATATCACATCAATCAGGACTGCCAGGCTAGCTGTACTGCAGTATTTCGAAGAACTCCTCAAATTCCATACGTTTCTCCGTTGTTCATGCAGAGAGGAGGCAAAAAGAGACTGCGAGGGGTTTGTCTCAGACTGTGCTCTATGCACGGTTCTGAGCTGGGTGAAGGCCCTCAACTTGGGTGTCTATTTCTGTAGGAAGTTGGTGAAGTCTTCCTCCAGTCTCTGACTCAGACTCTCACGAGAGTAGGGGAAATGGAGAAAGTCAGCACACGTGACTTCTGACTCGTCTCTCTGAAAGTCCTCGTAGCGGACCACAAACTGGGAAGTCTCTGGCTGACTGAAGAACCACACTTTCAATTGAAGTCTTCCATTTCGATCTTTGTCTTAACAAAGAACTACATCATGATTTTGGTCCTATAACAAAAAGACTCATTATATAAAAATAGATTATAATTAAACACACTCCAAAGTACTCGGGGCAACGGTGCGAGTGTGAGATGTTTGTTGTGTTCGAGGTAATCGACCTTTTTCCATTCAGTTCTGGCTAACCGGGCGTGTGGCACGGGTTTCGCAGTAAAAGAGTAACAGAATCACAGCTCCCTAACTAGGAACACCCGTTCATTTGAGAACAAAGACAAACCATTAATAGTTTCATACAGTAAGAAAAAAATATTTACAATACCGGACCACTGGTCCGCCATTGTCTGGTTGCGTGGTCTATGGCCCCAGTGCTAGGCAGCACCTGGGTATTATGACATACTAGAACTTGTCTTGCCCCCTATTAACATTGAACTGGTGTGTAACAAAAATTGCACAATAAACACTATAAAAAACACATCTCGAGTAGCTTGCTATACTGCCTAACTCTATCTTACTTGGGACAGGGAAATTGGTCCACGAGTAACTTGCCTTGGAAATTTGGCGAGTTTTGTTTGGTTTGGGGGTGGGATTTTGATTTTTTTTTGTGTTGATGATCCCCACCAGAACACTGCCACTCCGTATCTCTTCCCCGTTTTTTAAAACCAGCTTTCCTCAGTTGCACATCACGTTAGATTGAACCTGCAGCATCCAGAAACTGATATAGCTATACAGTAAGTAAGATCACATAGAGTAGAGTGTCCAATAAGAACATGAGTGGGACTACCATTGATTGTTTAACACTTCGTGCTACTCGTAGAGATGGGAGGTGTCTAACTGCCCGAGGATAGACAGCTAAGACACACATTGCCAAATCACAGCAGCTCTTCATCGCAGCTGAGTTGGATACTAACAGCTAAAGCCATCATCCAATATCAGCTCACAGTACATATGCCAGTGGCACTTCTCCAGTAGTACCCGATCCAGGTATTCCACTGCCACGTAGGCGACCAGAGCCACTGGAGCCCTCCCATCCACTCATGAACCTACACTATCCTTTCAATTACTTACTCTTTGTTTTTTTTTTAACGCCCGATGATTCCTTCCCGTTCGCCCGCGTTTATCTTGTGTTGCAGTAGTCAAACCAAGCATTGTAGAACTCCGATAAACGACAATGCATTTGGGTAGGCTGCAGTGAGTGGTGTGGGAGGAAAGTTGATCTTGGAATTGGAAAGTATCGAAAGTGGCGTAGCTGCTTTCGATACGACTCTGTAATACGGCGGAAGGAGGGAGAAAGGTGGGGGAGGACATTGGATATCTTCTGTGACGGTGTTACGGTCGGTGGTTCATACACAAGAGGGTTGCTTTTTACGACAGTTCTCATGGGGAGGGTTCTACTATGGATGAAGTGGTGTGTTGTTGAAAGGTGCTCTGACGTTAGAACAAGATCATGCCCTGCTGTACGGGAGCTTCTTTTGTTTTCCCCCGATAGTATGCTGTCTCCAGAGGTTCGTCATGAGGTTCTGACTCTGAATCAGTGACTAGAAACTGGCTCCAGCTTATTATATAGTGCTCTTCCTGTCGAGCTACCGCCATTCGACAGCCCTCTGTAGAGATCGACTCCAACAGACAAAACTTGACATCGTGGAAGACTGAAGTCAGGAGAAGGCAAGTTAGTACTATCGACACCACGAAGATTTAGCTTAGGAACTGCAACATTGTCTGACCTACCAGGAAGGATCAGCTCTACGTCTCTAAGGATTTTGCCAGCTCGTGGTTAATGGAATTGGAGTTAGGAATTTGATGACATAGACTCTATAGCATGTTAGGAAGGTG